GGAGGACAACAGAGCTGCTTCATGGAAGAACAACCTCAGCTTAGCCTGTTAGCCTTTGGGCTAGCGCTGATGCTATATTGCCATATTAGCCCGGCCAGCCTGCTTCTGGGTCCAAACTCCTTGAAAACCTTGACAGACTATTAAGCTATTGGAACACCAAATGTCAACTCAATATTGGTCAAAATGACATTAAATGTTGTCCCGTCTTTTATGCTTTTTTGTATTTTTAAAGTTGTTGGTCATTTTGAATAGGGTTAAATCCTTAAGTTAACCAGTTTTACATTGAATAATAATTTTGAGTTTCAGTATAATCTGCTCAGTGGTTCATGGCATATTGTTTGTTTTTGACTCAGAGGCAAGGTCAGTAAACAGCATCACTATTTCCCCTCTGGAAACAGGTGAAAAAAAATGGAATATAAAAAAGACAAAACATTAAAATAACTATTATTTCTGTGCACTCTCAATTTGACAGAAAAAGGAGATTTCATCGCTCTGGATCTCGGGGGTTCAAACTTCCGTATCTTGCGTGTCAAAGTGACACAGGACAAGAAGCAACCAGTTCAGATGGAGAGTCAAGCTTATGACACGCCTGATGACATCATCCATGGGAGTGGGACACAGGTAAATATAAAGAAAATCCTGGTTAAAGATCTGGATATAGTTAAAACGGTGTATATAACTAAACTAAAATACTCTGCAGACACCGTCTAAGATGCCTACATGTTTGGGTCTTCTTCAGCAAACACTGCACAAAACTGTCTGACAGTTGACTCAAATCGTTGCTGTTAGAGTCCACTCTCGAATGTTTTTACAGAAAGGTCAAAGGTCTGTTCGTATAAAATGGTTTCATCAGAAAGGAAGGGAGTAACAAGAAATGGCTTTAAAACCAGCCTTGACCTTCACTGAACTTATTAAAGACAGCTGGCGCTCACAATGTAACACGATAACCAAAACACAGGCAACTGTCTCGAGCAGTGAGCTTGGCTCAGACTGTGACCACAGAACTAAATTAGCTCTTTAAATCTTAAAAATGGAGAGATATGGATTATTATGTTGGTTAAAACCAGTATTTCTCAAATAGTCGGGCGTGACCCTCTGGGGGTGTGCAGTAAGTCCGGGGAGCGGAGGTGAGGTGCTGACAGAGGGGAGATGGAGAAAATTGTGACAATGAAAAGAAAAATGGAGAGAGTACCRGAGAGAAGTAAAACAAGTGACAATAGCCAACAGAAAACGACCAGGAAATACAACAAAGTCGACATAGCCCTTGGGTTTACTGTGAATACAGCAGGAAATGAGGAAAGACCTGTTTGTGGTTTCTGCCTAAAAACTCTGACAGTAGACAGCATGAAACCAAATGGGTTAAGGCGGCACCTGGAGACCTTACCCTCCAGTAATATAACAAATATTAATAGCCTTAAATAGTTTTGCCTTTCCTTCCTACAGCTCCGCTCAATTCTAGTTTCCTTCTCTGCTCCGTCTGGGACTTCTTCCATTGAGATGATTTCTCTGGCAGATTTTTAGCCGGGCCAATCAGAGAACAGAACGTTGATGTTCTGCAC